CGAAAAATGTTCACAATTTTATAATTTTGTTCAAAATTTTGAAATTTATTCATGTTTCAAAATAAGTTCGCAATTTTAAAAATGTTTGCTGTTTCAAAATTTGTTCACAGATTCAAAAAATGTTTGCGTTTTTATATTTTTTTTCATGAATTGGAAATTTATCCATGTTCCAAAATTTGTTGACAATTCAAAAATGTTCATGGTTTTCAAAATTTGTTCCCTGATTAGAAAAATGTTCACAATTATATAATTTTGTTCACGAATTTGAAATTTATTCATGTTTTAAAATTTGTTCACAATATAAAAAAATACGGTTTCAAAATTTGTAAAGAATTCAAAAAAAATTCACAATTATATAATTTTGTTCAAGATTTGAAATTTGTTAATGTTACAAAATTTGTTCGCAATTTTGAAAAATGATCGCAGTTTCAAAATTTGTTCACAGATTCAAAAAATGTTCGCGTTTTAATAATTTTGTTCATGAATTTGAAATTTATTCATGTTTCAAAATTTGTTCACAATTCAAAAAAATTGATCACATGCGTCATATTTTTGTTGAAAATTAAAATATATTTAGAATTTTCAAAATTTCAGTGTGTTTTTTCAAATTTTGTCACAAGTTCAATTTCCTGCTTTTAAAAAATCAGTTTTTTAAAGGAATTCGCCGATTTGAAAAGTGTTTGCTTTCACAGAACACTCAGTTTTTTAAAATATAATCATTCAAAATGAAAACGCACATCTATGGTTAGTTATTTAAGTAAAATATATCATTCTGGTTCCACATCTATGGTTAGTTCTTTAAGAAACGCACTGCTTTATTAGCGTCAGTACTCGGTAGGCCGAGTGGCTATTAGTGCGTGATAGTACGCACTTGTTCTCAGGTTCGATTCCTGGGTCGCGTGCGTTTCCTTTTACGTACTATATTTTTTGTCCCGCGGTAGAACTCAATGGGCCAGCCCAGTCAGGTCCCTCTCTGTGCGTCAGGCCGCCAATTTGACGCAAAGCGTGTCAAATAGGGGCTCCCAGCCAGGCCGGCTGTGAGCACACCAGCACTACTCGACATGGGCCAGGCACGCACAGGCCGTGCTCGGCATGCAGCACGCCTGGGGCCGTGTTTGGGCTTAGAGGCTGGGCAAGCGGGCCAGCACAACATAACTCTAGTGTGCTAAACGTGCCACGGACTGGCCTGTTTACTAGCTAGGTCATGTCTGGACCGTAGAGCGAGGCACATGGAGCGGCTCTACACGGCCCATCTACTAAACATGCCTGCATGGATCGTGCCGTGCCGGTCGGCCCGTTTAGCCAATTCTAGTGCTCACCCGGAACTCGGAGATCCCAGTGGTCAATTCAGGCGGGACCCATTCGTGGCCGCGTCTCCACAGGAAGAATGTGTTTGGTTAGTGGTCTGGCCGCTGCACGCCTGGCCTGGGCTACCTTCCTAATATATATTTGTTTGGATCGTGTCTTGGAAAATGAGAAGTCTGCATGGCCTGGGAGTCCAATCAGTATGATTAGTCTGGTTCTACATTAAAAAAAATAAAAGATAGATAAATACTAAGCCCAGGCAACATGATTAGCCTGCCCAGGCGTACTTTTACTTTTTCTTCCGCTGACAATCAACCATGAGCCATACTGTTCATTGGGTAAAATATCTTTAAGCACTACTCTCTTCGTTCGGTGAAAACTGTACGTATAGAAATTTTAAAACAAACTATGAAGTGAACTAAAAAATGCGTTGAAAAGTTGCAAGCCACGCTTTTTAATTACCCAACCCTCAATGAGCTAAGCATATGTAGGAATTGAGGAGACCATGCGTAGAATGTTATTGATCTTGATTACCCTGTAATGAGAGAGAAATGATTTTTTCTACTTTAAAGGTCATTGGAAAGATGAGCGAATTGCAAAAAACATCGACACTTCAGGCAAGGTTTGCAGGAACCACACATTTACGGAATTGTGCCAAAAAGCACTAATTTTTTTCATAATTTTTTGCAAAAAATACTAGTTGACTGTTTTAGTCCATTTAATGATGATTATGACATGTGGAGCCCACTTTACTTGACGTGGCGTAACGGTTCGAGACAGACATTGTTATACTTGTTTTTTTGCCAAAAACTCCTTAGAAAACAAAACAGCCAGCCACCCTTCCCAACACTGCTGTCTCCTTCCTCCCGGCCTCGCAAGCTGCGCCACCGCCAGCCGCCGCCGCCGTTGACTGATGTTCGAGCCGGTGAAGCACGAGCGCGCCGGCGTGCGGGCCGAGGCCGTCGGGTCAGCTTGGAGCGGTGGAGGCCGACGTGCGCACGGGCAGCAGCGACGACGGGCGCAAGTAGCAGCCGCGTCGGCCGCGCACGGGCGTGAGCTGCGGCGGCCCCCGCCATGCGGGCATGTTGCTGGTCAGCTCGGAGCTCGGAGTGGTGGAGGCCGAGGTGCGCACGGGCAGCAGCGGCGCCGGCCGCGACGGGCACAAGCAGCAGCCGCGCCGGCCGCGCCGGCCGTGCGTGGGCGAGAGCACTAGCTCGGGCCGCAAGCAGCAGGCGGGATGGGAACGAGCAGCAGCAGCTGCCCCGGCCGCGTGTGGGCGCGTGCCGCGACGTCATGAGCGAGCGGCAGCGGGGACGGGAATGAGCAGCAGACGCCGCCGCCCGGCCGCGTGCTGCGACGCCGTGCGCGAGCAGCAGCGGGGACGGGAACGAGCAAGAGAAGCTGCACCGGCCGCTTGTGAGCGTGAGCAGAGGCGCCGGCGGCCATGCTCCAGGTGAGCTGCTCAGGTGGCTCGAGCTCGAGCTCCATCGGCCCAGGCGACATGAGTCAACGTTGAGACAAATATAGGAGCCGATTGCTTTTTTGATTTTTGAATAAGGGGGTCTTTGTAAAATTACAGGGTCTATTTTGTAAATCTAGAAAAACCCTCACCTAATGGTGTCTATCCTGAACCGTTACGCCACGTCATCATTTGCGGGACCAGCATGTCATAATCATGCTCAAAACGATCTAAGCAGTCAACTAGTGTTTTTTGCAAAAAATTATGAAAATAATGCGTGGTTCCTGCAAACCTTGCCTGAAGTGTCGATGTTTTTTGCAGTTCACTCTTAAAAAGATAGAAGTATATTTTTTCATGGAAAAAATTTAAAGTTAAATGTATACTCTTCACCAGACGAAGGGAGTAAATGACAAAGTGACCATCTAGAAAAGGAACCAAACACATAAGCCTAGACAAGCCTGGTTAAGCAGAAAAAGCTCACCATCTCAGGCTCAATTCAGGCAGCCGTTTTTACGCACAATGTTCAGGACTCTAACAAACAGCCCCGAAATACCCAAATCCCAAACTCCACAGTTTTCCAATCTGTTCTGCTGCGCCATGGCCGAGACCACGACCACGAGCGCACCCCGGCGCCTCCTGTCCATTGTTAGGACCAGCCGCCGCCGCGACCACCTGCATCATGTAGTTACCCCATAGTTGCTCTTCTCGTGTGGAGCTACTGACCGCCAACAGCCTCCAGGCGCGGCGCCTAGGCCACTCAGATGCGCCGGGGTCTCCTTCTCCGGAGGCCATGCCCGCTGTGCTGCGAGTAGCCTTATTTAACCTAAGGATTTTTGCATAGGACGTAACCCGTCGAATTTGTGTTGTTGAAGACGACAGTCTGAACCTGCTACCACATTCGTCTTGGAATATAATTGTATTGGTCGATTAGCATATATTATTGTTGGTTGATCGAATGCAGCTTATATACTACTATGATGGTCTCAACTCTCATGTCCTTTATAATTCGATGATTATGTGGTATGCACATGTTTGAGACTGTATTTACGCACATAATCTCATGTGATTCCTCATCGCTTATCGGTATTCTTAAATTCCTGGCTCAGAGTGTACAGCTAGCTGGCACTCATGGTTGGCTAGATACTGCAGCATGAATAAACAGAATAACATGTATGTTGACTTGACTGTGTACTCGATAAATTGCTCAGTGGTTACTCTAAGGTAGCAGTGACATGCTCTGCAGTGCGTGTGAAGTGGCGGACCTACCATTGGGGCGAGCAGGGGCGGCCGCCCCGGCTCTCCTGGTGCGGAGCAGGGTACCCCAGCTCCGCCCCTTTCAGTTTTAGTCGAAGGGGAGCAACGCCATTGATGATCAGATCCGTTTCTGTCGAACAGTTACGTTCCTGAGGAAGAAGAAGGAAAGATGGGCCTAGATGGCTGGACTTTGTGGGCTTTAGTCCAAGGTGGAAGGCCCATTTCTTATTTTTCAGGAACCAAACACACCACGCGCATCAGCCTGTACGTACACCACGCGCACCACGCGCATCAGCCTGTACGTACACCACACGCACCACGCGCATCAACCTGGTGAATCATTCGATTGAAGAAAAATTTCCACACTGCCTCCCAAATTCCAATCCCTAGCTCACCTTCACGACCATGTTAGTAGGCAATGATATTTAGATACATATTTTTTTCTTTTTTGCATGTTGTAGGCTTTTCTTGGAGTTTTGGGTCATGTTGTTACAATCAACGTGTGTTCGGGCAACAAGAGAGCATGTTAGTAGTTTCGAAGATGTTAGTCTCAAAATTCTTGTCTTAAATTCGTCTAGATACGGATGTATCTAATACTAAAACGTGATTTGTTATATTTGTATTTAGACAAATCTAAGATAAGAATTTTGGGACGAAGAAGGTATAATTTTCCATGTCCTTAGTAATTCAATCTCACCCATATTGAAACTGAATCTTTCGAGGTCATTTATTGTGTTGAAAACACTTGTATTTGTGCTTCATTTTTCTTTTTCCTAACATGTTCGCCCCGGCTAACTTGAATTTCTGGGTCCGCCACTGCGTGTGATCACTTTGTTCAGAGTAGAGTGTTGTCCTGCCTCTGCTTTGCCATGTCCTAGCTCAATATTATGCAATTAGGCTTTGATCTTACCTTTTTTTATTGACATTACCGATTTTACGTATATATCTACAGTTGTTGCGTTTCTGGATCAAGCCTTTAATAATGGCTGAAGGGCCGTTGGACTTCTGGATTAACTGGGCGAGCCAGATCGGGGTTCTCTTGAGCCTGGCCTTCCAGGTCATCCTCCATCTCTTCGCCAATGTACGTCGGCGTAGTAACTCAGCTATGCTGAGGGTTCCCCTCTGGCTGGCGTACCAGCTGTCGGACATGACCGCGATATATGCTGCCGGCCAGCTCCTATACAGCAGCAACACACCACAAGACCACCAGCTCATTGCCTTGTGGGCGCCATTCCTCCTGCTGCACCTTGGTGGCCTGGAAAACATCACCGCCTATGCCCTCGAGGATAGCAAGCTCTGGAAACGCCACTTGCTGATCCTTGTGGTGCAAGTTGCGGGAGCCGGATATGTCCTCTACAAGTATATCGCCGGCAGCGAGATCTTGCTCACACTGGCTGCCATCTTAATACTCGTTGTTGGTGTTGCAAAGTATGGTGAGAGGACATGGGCACTCCGGTCGGCCAACTTCAGCATCCTCCAGAGCTCTCTCAAGACAACCAAAGAAAATAACAAAACAAAGAGCTCTCCCAAGGTACCAAGACGTGACCAACATTTTTATAAAGAATGGTACAACGACTTGCCCGACGAGCGCATTCTGCAGCGTGCTCACTCCCTTTTTTATATCTGCAAGCGTGGGATAGTTGATTCAGTGCTTGAGATAGACGACTCAGATACCCGGAGTAAGGTAACAATCTGTTAGAATAAATCCGAGGCATACCGTCGATCATCCGAGGACCAAGCAATCACACGAGCACGACACCGAGATTTGTTAACGAGGTTCACCGATATGGCTACATCCCCGGGGCCTGACTACGGGCGCTCCTCCCCGTGACACCGTCACAATACCGCACCCGGTCGCCCTGGACACCGGCACATGCCGCCGGCTTCCCATGCGTTCCGGTGCTACTATGTTGGCATAGGTTACATCGTGTGTCTATCCCCGCTATATAAGAGAGGCCTAGGATACAAGTGTCCTACTAGGACACGACTCCATATCCTATCTAAACACAATACTACTCAGAGTCCAACTGTAACCTACCGTGTACACAATATTCGACACAACTCCAACAAACTCCACCTTGGCGAATATTCTCCACCACCTTGAATTTGTCCATGCGTCAAACTTCCATGTACATTGGACTTGAGTTTATCCCATGAGCACCGCTGCTACTCCAAAGACTCCATGTGACTCCACCTGCAACTTGTAGTCCCTTCTTTTCTTGACCACGCTCAACACTCGAGCAAAATTAAGTTCCTTGTTACTCTAGCTTGTGCTCCCAACTTCCAGAGTATCAGTCCAACGCCGTCACACACTGACCTGCGTGAAAGTGAACAACTCACATATTGGGTGTCACATATAAGAGTTACCTGAACTCAACATCACCGCTCCTTTCATGACCGCCTGTCTGAAACCTGAAAGAATTTCACCATTGCTTGTAGTCATCCCGAGTCAAATTCGCAGTTGTCTCACCACATGTATGACCACCAGAGCCCTGGCCCGTCTCCATGCCCCGTGCATACCGCACGCCTCGCCGCTATTACCGCGTCGAGCCTCCGCTGTCCCGGTCGAGTCTTAAGGGTCGCGAACCCACACCACTCAACCCCCACTGCAGAGTACCATCGATCATCACCGACCGATGACGAGTTTCACGCTTCCATCAGACCACTGGGCTCCAGTCTGAACTACGTGTCACTCGCTTTTTTCCCGTTTGCTGAATAGGCTTCGACCCCGTCAACTTACGCCGTAGCCCCTCAATCCAGCTCCACCTTCAACATGACTCCATGGTAGATGATCAGTCCACCCCTGCGCCTCATCGACTTCAAGCTCCGTGTATACACCACCTTGAATCAATTCCGCGCCATAGTCTTGTCGAAGCCGCACAAGCCCTCGGGCCTGCGCCACGTGTTTCCACGCCCAGAAGTCGGTCACCATCAGCATCACGCTCCTATGTCGTCATCGCCGATTCCACCACCGTCTTCTGTACCAACCGACTTACGTCGATCCGTCAGACTATCTAGTCCGACCAAGCCGAACTCGTTCGACTGTACGACATGCTCCAGACTCCACAAGCCTTGTACGCACGTCACTGTCCACGCCACACACACGGTCCAAGCTATCTCAGCAAACTTGACCTGAAAAAAATTCTTCCATGCAAAGTTGACCCCACTGGATTCGTTGTGCACAATTTTTCTATCTTCTTTTGCTAGTAGCTTCTTCTTGCATGGCGTTGACCCTCCTTTTTTTCAAACAAATCTCCGTGCCTTTCACTCCATCGGCTCAAGGCAAACCACACGTATTAGCAGCAACTCCGTATCGTCAACGCCTGGCCGTTGTTCCGCCTCGGTAACCCAGTCCTCATGGCTGCACAAGGGCCTAGCCCATCAAGATACGCACACAACCAGCCACCTGAGCCACCCTGCCACGTTCTAGGCATGCCCACGAGCCACGTTGACTACGGCTTCCGTACATGCTGCAACCCACCACCAACGCTCGAGTTGGTCCGCGGCGCTTCAAATCCGCTAGCTGCTACACGCCCGTACGCGACGCCCGCTGAGCGATTCCGAGTGTCCGCCGCCGCCTGCTATCCGATCTCGCCGAGAACTCCCTGCCAATTGCTTCTTCCAAACACGACGCCGTCTTTCCGAATCTTCAACTCGAGCAACCTTGATCCACCGACGCGACAACTTCGCTGCCATGCCTCCAATCACACACGTTGCACGTTGTCAGATCCCATTGACAGCTTTCACGTGCTCTCCTCTAATCAACGATCCGCAGCCTCCGAACAACCTAGCTCATGATACCACTTGTTAGAATAAATCCGAGGCATACCGTCGATCATCCGAGGACCAAGCAATCACACGAGCACGACACCGAGATTTGTTAACGAGGTTCACCGATATGGCTACATCCCCGGGGCCTGACTACGGGCGCTCCTCCCCGTGACACCGTCACAATACCGCACCCGGTCGCCCTGGACACCGGCACATGCCGCCGGCTTCCCATGCGTTCCGGTGCTACTATGTTGGCATAGGTTACATCGTGTGTCTATCCCCGCTATATAAGAGAGGCCTAGGATACAAGTGTCCTACTAGGACACGACTCCATATCCTATCTAAACACAATACTACTCAGAGTCCAACTGTAACCTACCGTGTACACAATATTCGACACAACTCCAACACAATCAAGGAACATAGGGAAGTCCCTCAGAAAATGTGGAGGGTGATGGAGATGGAACTGTCCCTCATGTATGATATCCTGTACACCAAAGCAAACGTGATCCACTCTTGGGTGGGGTATTGCATCCGTATCATCTCGCCGCTCGCTGTCATTGCCTCACTCGTGTTGTTTCAATTGAGCAACAAAGATGGTTACAGCCAAGTGGATGTTGTCATCACATACACCTTGTTAGGTGGTGCCTTGGTCCTGGAGACGAAATCGCTCGTTGGCGCACTAGGGTCGAGCTGGGCGCTTGGCTTCTTGTGCGCCACACGATTGGATTGGCTCCGGCATTCAGCTCTGTGCACTGGAGGATGGTATCGGCTACGGCGCACACTTCTTTCTCTTCGCCGGTCCTGGCCTGGCAAGATGATCATGACAGGATGTTCAAGGAGGTGGTCAGGCACCATAGGTCAGCACAACATGTTGCAGTTTCGTGCTGGACAGGTGGATCAGATGAGTCGCCGGCCCGGTCATCTATTCAAGATGCTGAGACCCGGTGAGTGGTGGGATAGGAGGCACTTGAGGACCATCGATGTCTCTGAGAAGGTCAAGAAGTGTGCAGGGGGGTGGCTGGTCTCAACGGGTGATATGAACACAATGGGCCTGCGGAGGACTAAATGGGGTGAACTGGCACTGAATGACGAGGAGTACCCTGAACTCTTGAAGGACTTGGAGTATTATAAGTTAGTTGACTTCCATGAGAGCGTCATCTGCTGGCACATCGCCACCGACTTAATCCTAGCTAAAAAAGATCAATGGGGCAACGACGAGGTGGAGGTGGTCCGTGTACGGTCCAACTACATGATGTTCCTCCTCGTGGACTCCCCCGACATGCTACCAGGCCTTCCCCAAAATTGGTTGTATGAGCAAACCTGCATATAACTGGACACGATATGTGAACACGTTGCCGGTTCTGCTGGCAACAGAGTCTGCACTGTGCTCATTAACTTGTTCCGATCACACCATCACCGTGACTGGAAACCTTCTGAACTTGAGAAGAAGATCGCCAGTGCTATACTGAAGAAGGAAGGACCTACTAACTCTGAAAATCCTCGGCTCAATTATGCAAGTTTTATTGCTACCACACTGCTTAATAGGAAGGAAAATGTGGTTAAGTTGCTGCTGAAGCTGTGGTTGGACTTCCTGGCCTATGCAGCCAACCGGTGCAACAGGGAGGCGCATGCGAGGAAACTCAGCAGCGGCGGTGAGTTTCTGACTATCATGTGGCTTTATCTAGAACACCTCCACCAAGTAAAAGTAGACATAAGAAATCGGAAGGAAGAAGAATGAAGCTGAACCTTGAATAATTCAGTGTACTTTAATGAATATCCAGAAATATCCTCACTTTGTACTTTGTAAGCATATCTTTCTTCATTTCAGCACTTCTTGCTCAGTTTCCTATGATGAATACATTGGACCATAGAACCTCAATTGACATGCTAGCTATCCCAGCAATGATTTTGTGAACATATTGTGTTTTTATATGGTTTTTAGTTGCAACGATGATATGTGAACAAGTTCCAAAATAGATGCAGGTCCAGGGATCTTTGTTGTGGGCAGTGCAGTATGTGCATATCAGTTACGATTTATTGACAGCAGCAGAAAGTCATATCCAGTTGGTGTTGTGTGAAGTAGCAGGTTCTGACGTAGTTCCTCTACTGACAGCGATGGGGGTAGGAGCTTCAGGTGCAGGCAATGCATAGGAGTTCAGCGATGGCATCGGCTACAGCGCACATTTTTTAGAGCTGCTTGCTGCAGATGGAATGCTGACCCTAAGTGCAGCAAGTCTTTGGAGGACCTGTGGTTTGGGAATGCTTCTCTTGCTATTCACTTTTCACTTCCGCTTTGGTAGACCCCCTTCAACACTCATGATAGGCATAATTTGAAAAAGAGGCCGCCCACCCGCTGTCCCTGGCGATCGTGGCGCCCCAAATCATGAAGCCGCCTGCCATGGGAAATGGGATCGCTGGAGCGCCGCCATCCCTCGTCGTGACGTCCGGCCGCACGCCACGCTCCGGCCCCCGCCAGCTCCTCACGAGCGGGAGGGCACCTAGTCCCCGTCGCCGCGATGGCAAGGCTTTGCCTGGCCGCGCCCTCGGGCGGCGGCGAGGGAGGAGGAGGAAGAGAGGGGGAGTCGGGGGCGACGGGATCTGGGGGCCTCCTAGCCGCCGCACGGGGGCGACTCGGGAGAGACGGGAGGGACTCCTAAGGAGCCTAATAATGTATCATGCTGGCAAACAAGTAGCTTCGGGTGCCTGACAACATCCATCAGCATCTTCCTGTCCATGGCTGTGGCCTTCTTGATACAAGACACTGTTCGTAACATTTTTTGTGACACGACTGAATAGTGAAAAGCAGACGCATGACGACACTGACGACATAGCAAATGAACATGAGTGTGCTAGAGTCATATGTGATGCCAAGCCAGCAACAAAAGCTCTGGATGATACCAAACGCAAAGACCTGATGTTGCTAGG